TATTATTATTATTATTATTATTATTATTATTATCAATAAGATGTGAGAGGCAGATAAAGTTAGAAACGTGTTCATTTGTTCCCCCTGTGACTCACACTCTCTCCTTGGCTTGCGCGTATAGCTCAGGAGGCAGACTCACTTCCAGCAAGGCTTGCTCAAACTTCTCACAGTCTTTCTTACATCGGTGGTCGCTGACTGTGAACGTGAATTGACCGGCGCTGTTGTCTGCTCGTCCGAAGCTCTCGAGCGTTGAGAAGCGGACCTGAAGATGTGTGCAGTTGGAAATTGGCGCAATCACGTCGTTTCATTTTTTAGTAATGCATTTTACGCTACTTGCAACACAATTAGGTTGTATAAGAGACAATATTAGAGGTGTTACAAGAGGGTAAGAAGCGCAAAAAAAGAAGGACGAGAGATAAGGACGATGGATATTCGATGGAGAGAAGAAGTAGACCACACCAGAGCACTTGCCATCCAATCATCAATCAGGTCTGCATTTTGATACAAGGAGCTCTTTTCACATAGGAGTAATTGCAGTTATTGGTTATCTATACATATTATATTTGTGAAAGTCCATCACTTTCGAAGCCTAAAACTTCGGAAAAACTTAACTTTCGAATTCGAAAAAATTAACGGTGATTCAGAATCATTTAAAGGGTGCACAGTTTCACTGAGGAGTCTGAAGGCACTGTAGTTTAATTTTCAGGTTTTCATTCGTTTCGTCTAGATCTAATCTTGGGAAAGTCCGTCTTCTTAGACACCATTGTGAACAAGTGAGGCTTCCGTTCACAATGAGTGCGCACTCATTCCACACCTTTGAAATTCTGGAGTGTACAACCACGAAAGTGGAATAGAGAATAAATCTATGCATCTAAAATGTATTATATATTTTGCAACTTGAAAACACATGTGTCACTTTTCTCTCTAGATGTATTGCTCCATTCCAGTAGAGTGTAAATACAATAGACCAATGATATTCAGTTGATGTTAATGCATTGATCATTCCTTTCATTGAAAGCGGGCCCTGCTAGTGTTACATACTTCTTGTATTAGAACCGTTACGCCAAAACTTCTTACACAATTGAGTTTTTCATTTCGGGGAAACCTAAACACTTGTACAATGTTTTAGTTTGGAGAGAGAGAGAGAGAGAGAGAGAGAGAGAGAGAGAGAGAGAGAGAGAGAGAGAGAGAGAGATCGTAATCTCATATTATGCTCCCCGGTGTTTCTGACAGGAGCGCAGTTTTTTTTTCTCTTTTCTTTTTAATGGCGCCCGTAAAATGCAACGTGCCGCCTCATTTTTACAGCACATGAGAAATGCTTCTCGGAAATGTAAGACTTTTATCTGCTCCCCGTCGCGGGAAATCAAACACATACTCGAGTGGAAAAGGTGCGTTATCAACTCTCTTGTTCTGGATAGAGAGCAATTGAGAGTCTGGGTAAATTCTGTGAACGCAAAGGAACATTTTCACCAGCGATTTAGGTGCTGGCTGAATATGTGTCTTTTTGTCTGTCTGGTCCAGACGACGTTGTTGTA